GAACAGGGGAGGCTGGGGAGGGGGGGGTCCACTCTGAAGACAGCCGACCGCGGAGGGGTTTTGTCCCACAGGGTTTTACCCTCCGCGTGAGGATCGGCGCGGCGAGGGGGTAGGTTCGAATTCGCCGCGCAACATTTCACCCCCACAGGACCCCGCCCTCCCCCCCTCATGGTCCCACCACCTAGAACCCCAATCTTAGGCTTCGCACCCCCTCCTTGCGCAGTGTCCCCCACTATGTGTCGCCGTTATCGGGGCACGCTATCCTGTGCAGTCAGGGCAAGTGGGGGCGGGGGGCACTCCCATCTCTCCTGTGTACGGGTGGTGACTGTCCCTAGTCTCGGAGGGGGGCTTGAAGGTAAGAATATTTTATTTTTTTAGGGGTCCCCTAATGTGTTTGGTGCTCCATTCTGTTTCTCTCGAGTTTCCCTCGGGAAACTCGCGAGTTTCCCTGAGTCTGAGAGCTGGTCTGGGGCAAAATCTGGGGCAAAATTGAGGAAATCGGCACGATACCCAGGTATTTTCCAGGTATACCGGGGTTTTCCAGGTATACCCGCAAAATACCCGGTATTTTGCCGATTTTGGCCCCAAAACAGCCTCAGACACGGCTCAGAGCCCCCCCAAAATGACGAATTCCACGGAGTTTCCCCGGGGGTTCCCGAGGAAACTAGAGGGTGTTGTAGGGAAACGAGCAGGAAACACGGAAAGGAAACCAGGTAGGGTGCGAGAGGAAACCCTCGGAAAGGCCAAGCCCCATACGCAAGACCAATCGTGCGGTAGGAGGTGCCGGAGGGCCCGACAAACACTCGCGAGTTTGCACGTACCCACGAACCGTCGGACTTTCGTTCGCAGCCTCACCGCGCGCCAGCCGGCGTCGTCCGTCGAATGCGCCACTCCAAAGAGCATAGTCGACGTCGCTACGCGGGAGCTCGACGTATATCGCCCCAACCAAAGGTGGCTCCGTATTGGCTGGCGATCGATGGGCATTTTGCAGCGGGTTCCGACTATTGGAAGGGTAGGGGCGCCGCGTTTAGGGATGGGGGGCCTAGGAGTGGTGTTGTACCATGCGGAATCGACCCTATCCAGTGCTCAAGCAAGTGCTCAAGTACCGGTGTGAGTTCGCTTGCAAAATTCTCTTGCACCTCGAGCGCAGAAGGCTGCCAACCTCCTCTCCGCCCAACGGCGTCGTCGGCCGCGCGCGTCACACAGCCATCCTACAGGCGCCGAGCTTGGCATGGCGCTTCTTCTGCTGTGCTCTTCAAGCGCCTGGGTGCTCCCGACCGGCAGCTCCGTCCGCCGCACCCTGCACTCGCCGCCACCATGTCGCATGGAGTATGGCGAGCGGTGCTACGAGGGCGCGATCGACCCGCTCCCCGAGAACGTCTTCGAAGTGCTCGTGCAGCGGCCGCTCGGGATCGGTTTCGAGGAGGACGGACCGATTATTGGCATGTCGGGCGTGTCGGTCAACCAGGTTGTAGAAGACAGCCACGCTGCGAGAGGCACGTCGGTGCTCCGTTGCGTCGAGGGCGAGAATACCGCGGTGCCGGGAAAGGTGATGGTGGGCGACAAGCTGGTCGGCGTGACGGCGATCCGCTTCAAGGGCAGCAAGTGGGAGCGCGAGATGTTTGACTGCCGGAAGTGGAGCTTTGACACCGTCGTTGACGCCATCGGATCAAACGAGGAAAAGTTTGTCAGTGATTTTGTGCTGCTGCAGTTTGAGCGGCGAGAGGATGGGGAGGGGTCCGAGACGGCCTGAGCTCCTGCAAACGCATGTGATGGATGACGATGCATGAGCTCGGCCGACATGCGTTCATGCCCATCGCGAACACAGCAGCTCGAGCAGCTCGCAGGATTGGAGCAGCGGCAGCAGCCCGCCGCAGCGCCAACCGGCCGCACCGCCTCCGCCGCGGCTCCGATGGCGTGGTCGCCGCGCCGTCGCCCAAACGCCCGCCCTTGATGTTTATTGTTCCTAGCGAGCCGTAGAGCGGCGAGGGGTTGTCGCCTCTCTGACGCGCGAGCACAACACACGGTCGCCCTGTTTCATTTAGCGATTAGCCGCATACAAGCTGCTTAAAAGAAAGTTGACGTAGTACGAGTTCCCCATATCTCACGTGTGCGCATTTTGCCATTGGACATTCTGATTCGCTCGAGAGACGAGAGACAAGAGAGGACGTGTTATCTTGTAAAACGAGCCGACCGGGCGCTCAAAAGGAGTTGGGAGTGCAAGAGCGGCCTGGTCGGGTCTGCGGGACGTTTGTCACCGCCACTGCGGCACTGAGAGGTTCGGGGAGCGCAACTAGGCTAGCTGTTGCTGCAAGAGGTTGCCTCCAGCCCGCTCACAAGGTACGCCTGCCACAGGAACTGTCCGCTCGGCACCTTCTTGATCGAAGGCACGTAGTTGGCAAAGGCGGCGACGTCGTCCGGGTCCTCGCAGATGACCGCGCTGCGTGTGCGGGCCGGCGGCGGCGCTCAGCGGGGGACGTGCGGCTGGGGCAGGGGTGGCTGGCAGAGGGCGCGCGCGGCGGGCGTGAGCACATTGGCTGGTCGGGCCCTGCGTCGGCCCCGACAGGGGCGAGGATCTTTGCCAGGAAGCCGTCCTCGATGCACTCGATCTCCATCACCACCTGCGTTGGCGGCGGAAAGCAGCGCACTCAGGCAGCGGGCAGGGCAGCAGCGAGGCTGTGCGGGCTCGGCGCACCACGGCGTCGGCCTGCTTCTCGGTCGCGTCGTTGCCGAGGAGCTCCGGACCTGTGATGGAGACCTGGAAGACGAGGTCGTACGGCGAGATGGCATCGCCGATCCCGATGTTCCACTGGTGCACCTTACCGGTGGTCATCGTGGGCGCAAGGCGCGGCATCGGCACGACCTTGTGCGGCGGGAGCGAGGCGGAGCAGAGGGAGCGCACGGAGCCGCACAGCCGCCGAGGCCACGCCCGCCGCGCCGCCCCCATAGCCGCAAGCTCAGGTGCCGTGTCGGCCAGACAGCAGGTCGCCGCAAGCCTCTGCCGAGGAGAGGACGCACGAGGAGATATAAAAATCCTGATGTCGGCCACGGTCGATCTTGACAAAGCACACATGCGGGTACTTGACGGCGAGGGCCTCGAATGTGGGCGCAATCATCTTGCACGGCCCGCACCACGACGCCGTGAAGTCGACGACCACAGCCTGGTTCTTTGCAGCCGCGTCAGCCAGCAGGGCGTGCCACTCCTCGGTAGTGGCGATGCTCCTCTTCTTGGCTTCAGCGCGTTCTCGAGGTTCTCGAGGTGGATATCCTTTGGGTAGCGACGCCGCGTTCGGGTCTCGCCGGGGGTTCGGACTGTTGGGGGTATCGGGCTGACTGTCCACGCCTCCAGCCGACAGGGCCATATGCCCCCTCCCTCGCCCCACCGCCGGCCGCCTTACTGCTATGGGCGCAGTGAGTATTCTTCATACGAAACCACGTCGACACACACCAGTCGACTCGCATCGGTTGCCTCCATGAACGGCGGAGCTATTCTCGCGTCCACACCACACCTGGCTTTGATCAGCGTTCTCCTTGAACGATATCGGTGTGAAACACCGCTCTAAGCGTACGCAAATCTCTTGTCTTTGTGGAGACGACGACGTAGAGCTCTATATGCGCAGCTAGCTATGCGCAGCCAGCTGCGCGCGGCTGTCGACGGCAGAGGCCCGTGCCGCCCCGACTCAGAGGTGACTGAGAGGCTTCGCGAGCTGGTGCGGCCACACGTCGAGTCGTTTGACTGGTTCGTCAAGGAAGGCCTGGACGAGGGTGTCGAGTCGCTCGAGCCCGAGGAGTTTGAGAGCGCGGCGGGCTCTCGCATCAAGCTGTGGCTTCTGGAGGCGAAGCTCTATGCGCCCAAGAGCGACACGCGCAAGGACCAGGACCTCTTCCCGTCCGAGTGCCGCCGCCGCGGCGGCTCGTACACGGGCCAGCTGCGCGTCACGCTCCGCTACACTGTCGACGACGGCCCGCCGCTCGACTTTGACCGGGCGGTCGGCCAGCTGCCCGTGATGGTGCGCTCGTGCGCGTGCCACCTGCATTCGCTCTCGGCGCCGCAGCTCGTCCACCGCCGCGAGGAGCGGCACGAGCTCGGAGGGTACTTCATCTCAAACGGCGACGGGCGCAACCTTCGGCCGCTGGCTGTGCGAGCCTTCTAGGAGCCTACACGCGTCCTCCCCGTAGGCAACGAGCGCGCGATCCGGCTGCTGATCGTGCCGCGGCGCAACCACGTGACGGGCATCGTGCGCCCCTCCTTCCGCAACCGAGGGCCGCTCTTTACCCCGTACGCGACAGTAATCCGCTGCGCCAACTCAGACCAGTGCTCGCTCACTGTCGGTCCGAGACTAGCCGAGACTAGCCGACTAGCCGAGCCTCGGGCCAGTGCTCGCTCACTGTCGGTCCACCCAGTGCAGCTAGCTGGTACACTTGCCTGCTCGGAGCCTGCACGGAACCTTCTCGGAACCTTCTCTCGGAGCCATGCTGCTAGGGCTCCACCTGCTCTCGTCTGGCTCCGCGCGGCTGCGCATCACAATCAGCAAGAACGAGTTCTTCCTCCCCGTCGTGCTCGTGCTGCGCGCGCTGCGCGAGTGCTCGGACCGCCTCGCGTAGATGACGACAGCAGCTCCGTATCTCCACATATCTCCCCGTATCTCGAGGCTTAGATGCAGACAGCAGCTCCGTGCCGCCGCCCATGCCCCGGACTCCGACGAGACGGACTCCGTGCCTTCTGCTCGGTGGACGCTGGCTCCGCGGCATGCAGGGGCACTCAGCGCTGCTCCGCTGTACGCATCCACGCGATCCGCCAGACACACGAGGCCGCCTCCCCGCCCCCCACTCTGGCGTGCTCTCCCCGCCCCCCCACTCTCGCGTGCTCTCCCCGCCTCCCCACTCTCGCGTGCTCGCGGCGCAGGACCGAGAGGTGTATGAGCGGGCGACCGGCGGCGACGGCGACGACTCCTTCGTCGCCGACCGTGTCCTCGAGGCGCTCCTCTGTCAGATGCCGCCCCACACACACATGCGCCACGCTTTCGCCACACACACACAACACACACATGCACATGCACATGCACATGCATACATGTGCCGCACATGCGCCACTGCGCGGCCCCTTCGGCCCACGTCCGGCCACACCCGCTGTCGACCCGCCTCCCCCCCTGCCTGCAGCCGCCCTCCCTGCAGCTGCCCTCCCCTGCCGACCAGCCCCAAACGCCCGCCACCCGCCCCGCCGCATCCGCCCCGCCACCCGCCCCGCCGCATCCGCCAGGCGCTGCGCGAGAACCGAGACGACTTTGGCGAGCCGCTCGCGACGCGGAAGCACTGCCTCGGCTTCCTCGGCCGCCAGTTCCGGGCGATGCTGCGGCGGCCGCTTTGGGAGTCGGACGAGCAGGTCGGCGCGTTGCTGCTGCGGCGGCAGGTCTTCATCCACCTGCAGCACCGCGAGGAGCGCGACCGCGGCGAGGCAAAGTGGGAGCTGCTGATGCTGATGCTGCAGCGGCTGTACGCGCTGGCGGCGGGGCGTGTCAAGGAGGACAACCCCGACTCGCTCGTCTGCCAGGCGGGGGGCCTGGCCGAGAGGGGCCGTGATTCAGCCGAGAGTGGGACCGGCCGGACTCGTCTGCCGTGGGTCCACAGCCTCCTCGTTTCTGCGCGCACCGCCACTCGCCTCTCTGACACGCGGCGCTGTCTGCCCTCGCTGCTGCTCCCCCCTCCTCCTATCATCGCTGCCCTCTCCTCCTCCTCGTCGTCGTGTCTCATCTCCTCTTCCCCCTCCGCGCCTCCTCTCCTACCACCCACCCCGCCACTCGCCCCTCTGACCCCCGCCACTCGCCTCCTCCGCCCAGGAGGTCCTGCTTCCCGGCCACCTGTGGGCGATGATGGTGCGAGAGCAGCTGGGCGGCTGGGTGCGCGCCGTGGCCAACGCCGTCAAGCGAGAGCTCGCCAAGCCGTCGCCGGCGCTGCCCACCGACGAAAAGATGATTGCGTCGGCCCTCCGCATGGCAACCTCGGCGGCCGAGCCCGGCAAGGCGCTCGGCTACTTTGTGGCGACGGGGAACCTGCGCTCCGAGTCGGGCCTCGACCTGCAGCAGACGGCGGGCTTCACCATCGTCGCTGAGCGGCTCAACTACTGGCGGGCTCAGCTCCTCGCGCGACTTGCGCTCGGGCATGTCCATGTCCACGCCGTCACACGTCCGAGACGCGTCCGCAGGCGCTTCCTCGCGCACTTCCGCTCGATCCACCGCGGCGCCTTCTTCGCACAGCTGCGCACCACCACCGTCCGCAAGCTGCTGCCCGACCAGTGGGGCTTCCTCTGCCCCGTCCACACCCCCGACGGCTCGCCGTGCGGGCTGCTCTCGCACCTCGCCGCTCCGTGCTCGGTCCAGGTCGAACCTCGATCTCGGCGCAGCTCGGACAACCTCGGCGCAGCTCGGCGCAGCTCGGCGCAGCTCGGCGCATCTCGGCGCATCTCAGCGGGCTCACCTTCCCACCCCAAGGCTGATCTCGGCTGTCTCGGGCAAGTCTCGGCTGATCTCGCATCATCCCCCCCCCCCCCCCCACCACCTCCAGGTCGAGACGTCCGCGCGCGGCGCCGTCCGGTACCTCCCTGCTGCCGAACCTGCTGCGGAGAGGTTCGCCGAGCCAAGCCGAGATTCGCCGAGATTAGGTCCTACCTTCTGCCGCACCTCTCCGCCGCCGGCGTCGCGCTGCTGCCGCTGGGCGGGGGGCTGCCGACCGCGCACTACATGCCCGTGCTCATCGACGGCGAGGTGGTCGGCTTCGTGCACAACGACGCCGCGCCGCACGCCGCCTCGCTCCTGCGCCGCCTCAAGGTCTGCGGCGCGACACCGCCCGACCCGGCCGCGCCGCTGCAGCCGCCGCCGACCATCGCGTCGCTCGAGATCGCGCTCATCCTGCCGGGCGGCTCGCGGCGGCCGCCCGCGCTCTACCTCGCCGCGGGGCCGGCGCGGCCGCTGCGGCCCGTGCTCAACGTCTCCCTCGGCCGCACCGAGCTCATCGGGCCGCTCGAGCAGACGACCCTGCGTGTGTCGTACGGCGCAGACGACGAGGGCCGCGCCGAGGCGTCGCACGCGGAGGTGACGCCGCACAACATGCTCTCGCTCATCGCGTCGCTCACGCCCTTCTGCGACTTCAACCAGTCGCCGCGCAACATGTACCAGTGCCAGATGGGCAAGCAGACCATGGGCGTCCCCTTCCACGCCGTCGGGCAGCGCTCGGAGACCAAGGCGTACCACCTGCACACGCCGCAGTCGCCGGTGGTGCGCCAGCAATCTCTCCCCCCATCTCCCCCTATCTCCCCTTCTCGCCGCAGCCGCCGGTGGTGCGCCCGCAACACCCCGCAGCGCACGGCCTCGCCCTCGTGGGCCCGCCGTCAGCCTTCTCGCCCTCCCCCCCCCCCCCCCCCAGGTGCGCACGCAAAACTTCACCGCGTACGGGCTCGCTGAGCACCCGCTCGGCACTGGTCTGTTTCAGACTCCTTCGCTCATCGCTCCTCATTCCGCAACAGGCTCGACGAGTACCCGCTCGGCACGAACGCGGTGATCGCCGTCCTCTCGTACACGGGACCTTCTAGGAACCTTCTAGGAACCTTCTGGGAACCTTCTAGGTGATCGCCGTCATCTCTTACACGGGCTACGACATGGAGGACGCGATGATCGTCAACAAAGCGTCGTACGACCGCGGCTTCGCGCACGCGTCGGTGCGCACGACCGTCGAGGTCAACCTCAACAAGCTCAAGACCAAGGGCGAGCCGCCGCACCACCGCTTCGGAAACCTGAAGCCGCCCGAGCCGCCCGACGACGCGCCGCCGACCACGGTGCCCAAAAAGTTCTGCGAGTCGCTCGGCGCGCGCGCGCGCCCGCGGTGGATCGCCCTGCTCCAACCCCCTCCCTCCCCCCCCCGAGCCTCCCCCGAGCCTCCGCGTCTAGGCGTGGACGGGCTGCCGGAGGTCGGGCAGCTGCTCAAGGACGGCGACCCGATCTGCGCCGTGCTCGACCTCGCCACCTCAAAGCACGAGCTGCGGTACCACAAGTCGTCGGGCGGAGAGTCGGGAGGCGCAGCCGTGGTGGAGGAGGTGCGCGTCGTCGGCGGCGACGGAGACTGGCAGGAGGGCGGCCGCGACGCGCCCGTCGCCTTCATCCGGCTCCGCTACAACCGCAACCCCATCCCGGGCGACAAGTTTTCGTCGCGCCACGGCCAAAAGGGCGTGCTGCTCTTGCGGCTGTGGCCCGCGGAGGACGTGTCCAGGACGTGTCCGGGACGGGTCCGAGACGTGTCCCCTAGGCGTGCTCTCGCGGCTGTGGCCCGCGGAGGACATGCCCTTCACCGAGTCGGGCATCACGCCCGACATCTTGTTCAACCCGCACGGCTTCCCGTCGCGCATGACCATCGGCACGCTCTCCTCTCTCGAGCTGCGGGGCGCGAGGGCGCGTCCGCGACACGTCCGCAACGTGTCCTGCAGGTATGCTCCTCGAGATGATGGCAGCCAAGGCGGGCGCCGCGCACGGCGTCACGCAGGACGCGACGCCCTTCCAGTTCTCGGACAAGCACCGCGCGGTGGACTACTTTGGGGAGCAGCTGCGCGCGGCCGGCTTTTCGTACCACGGCACCGAGCCGATGTACTCTGGCCTCTACGGCACCGAGATGGAGGTGCAGATCTTTGTCGGCGTCGTCTACTACCAGCGGCTGCGGCACATGGTGTCGGACAAGCACCAGGTGCGCTCGCGCGGGCCGGTCAACACGCTCACCAAGCAGCCGGTGCACGGCCGCAAGGTGCACGGCGGCATCCGGCTGGGCGAGATGGAGCGCGGCGCGGAGGAGTCATCCGAGATGACCCGAGATGAGCCGAGACGGCCCGAGATTAGGCGAGATGGAGCGCGACGCGCTGCTCGCCCACGGCGTCGCCTACCTCGTGCACGACCGCCTCTTCCACTGCTCGGACGAGGCGCGCGCGCTCGTCTGCACGCGCTGCGGCTCGCTGCTCGCGCCGATGATGCGGCCGCCCGAGGGGGCGCTGTCCGGCCCGGCGTCGCGCGAGACGCTCTGCCGCGCGTGCGGCGACGGCGGCGCGGTGGACGCCATCGCGCTGCCCTACGTCTTCCTCTACCTGACCAACGAGCTCGCCGCGATGAACGTGAAGGTCAAGCTCGATACGCGATCGACCGCCGCGCTCAAGTGAGGGAAGTTTGTTGTGTGATCGAGCGAGGAGAGGCAGAGAGCATGTGTGCGTGGGGTTTGTCAGTGTCGCCCGTCGTCAGTGTTGTGGGCGCGTGGTAAGAGACGATTCCGTACGTACGGCCCTCTCCCAGGTTCAGTGGATTGGTCTGATTCAACGAACCACAACCAGGAACGCGATCGCGAAACCGAAAGTTTGGTGCGGTGTGTGGCCCAGTGCCAGTGCCGCCCACTGCCAGTGGTGGGCAGAGGCCAGTGCCAGTGAAAAACGCTAACGACACATAGAGATCACAGATCACTAACTTGCTCGGCGTCAGCCGGACGCCCCTGCGGAATGCATCGTCGTCGTCGTCGTGGCGTCGTGTTTGTCCGCCCTCCCTCCCCGCAACAAATTCCACCTCGCCTTCTCCGTCGCCCTCCTGGCCCAGTCCTTTGTGACACAAACACAGGTTCGAACACACACAGGTAGGGTGCCCACAGGGCCCAAAAAAAGAAAGTAAAAAAGAAATGGGGCAAGCCCCACCGCAGCACTTCGTGTTGGAGAGTCGAGATATTGAGATTGTGACTAGGAGGGAGGGGCGCTGGGGATTCTCAAAGGTATACCCTTGGAATGGCCGGATCCAGCCTTGAAAGTACGAGATCGCGCGCGCTTCGCGCGCTGCACCGCCTGTTCTCCGCGGCTGAGTGACGACGGTGCCGTGTGCCAGCAGAGTTGGGGCGGCCGGCGAGGGAACGGTATTTCGACACAGGAGCATTCCTTCTTTTTCTGCGAACCCCGTGGCGGCTCGCGTGGTGTACCTGTGTTAGTGCCAGTGCGCGCCAGTGCCGTGCGCAGCGTCGTGCGAGGCAGCTAAAAATTCTTTTTCTCACGATGTCCACCCCGCCGCGCCGCCGCTCGCGCCGCCTCGCCGCCGCCTCCACCTCCGCGCCCTCGCCAGACACGCCGCCGCCCACCCGTCTCCTCGACCTCCCCACCGACCTCCTCGTGCGCGTCGTCTCTCGCTGCGAAAGCCCCGCCGACATCGCTCGCGTCGCGGCCGTCTCGCTGCTCTTCCACGCCTCGCTTGCGCTGGAGGGCATCCGCTTGTGGGCGCAAGAGCGCGGCCTCGAGCTGCCGGCGCAGCCAGAGGGCGAGAGCTGCGCCGTGCGGTGGCTGTGCTATTCGGCGCTGCTGCGCGAGGCCAACCCGCCGGCGAGGGTGGCGGCAGGCGAACGGCACAGCCTCTTCATCGACGGCGAGGGGCGGCTCTCGTCGTGCGGCTCGGAGGGTTGGTCGCCAGGACTGCTCGGGCACGGTGAGGGCGTGACGCAGCTGAACACGCCCACCCGCCTCCCTTCGACGCTGGGTGACGAGCGTGCCGTGAGCGTGTCGGTTGGAAGAGCGCACAGCCTCGCCCTCACCGGCAGCGGCTCTGTCTGGAGCTGGGGCTATGGAGCCTGGGGCCGGCTGGGCCACGGCGACGCGCAGGACTGGCTGCTGCCAAAGAAGGTCGAGGCCTTGGCTGGCCAGCGCGTCGTCGCTGTGTCGGCTGGAGAGCACCACAGCCTCGCCATCACCGCCGCCGGCGCCCTTTGGAGTTGGGGCTATGGTCGCAGCGGCCGGTTGGGCCACGGCGACCAGCAGAACCAGCTGCTGCCCAAGGAGATCGTGGCGTTCGCAGAGCGGCACGTCGTCGCCGTGTCGGCCGGAGAGAACCACAGTCTCGCCGTCACCGCCGACGGCAGCGTCTGGAGCTGGGGCTATGGAGCCTCTGGCCAGCTGGGCCACGGCGACGAGCAGGACCAGCTGCTGCCCAAGAAGATCGAGGCCTTGGCTGGGCAGCGCGTCGTCGCTGTGTCGGCTGGAAAGGCCCACAGCCTCGCCCTAACCGCCGACGGCGCCGTCTGGAGCTGGGGCGGTGGCTACTATGGCCAGCTGGGCCACGGCGACACGCAGAGGCAGCTGCCCAAGAAGATCGAGGCCTTTGATGGCCAGCGCGTTGTCGCTCTGTCGGCTGGAGGCAACCACAGCCTCGCCCTCACCGCCGACGGTGGCGTCTGGAGCTGGGGCGGTGGCTACTATGGCCAGCTGGGCCACGGCGACGCGCAGCGCCAGCTGCAGCCGAAGAAGGTCGAGGCCTTGGCGGGGCAGCACGTCATCGCTGTGTCGGCTGGATATAGCCACAGCCTCGCCATCACCGCCAACGGTGCTGCCTGGAGCTGCGGCTATGGAGCTGGGGGCCGCCTAGGCCACGGGGAGGACCAGTCGAACCAACTGCTGCCAAAGAAGGTCGAGGCGTTGGCGCCGGGCAGCTGGCCTGCTGGCGCCGGGGCAGTGAGGCATCGCCATCGGGCTCGGACTTTTACTCTACTGCCGCCTTGCCCCAAGGGAGGATATTTTTCTTGCCGAATCTGCGTTTTCTTCTTGTCCATGAGGGGCCGTCGCCTGCCGTGCCTATTGTGGTGCCAGTCCGAGCCAGTCTGCTGTGAGAGGGGCTTGTACAGTGGAAAAATTCTTCTAGTCCGCGCCAGTCCGCGATTACCGCGCAAAATGAAAGAAAGTAGAAAGAAAGAAAGAAAACACGCAATTGAATGAGGATTTTATAGGAAAATCTCTCGCAGGACGAGGCAGAGGAGAGCGAGGACGCGACAGAGGAGGAAGGAAGTAAAATTCTCGCTGCACACAAGGAGAGCACCAGCCCAGGCCCCGTCTGCGCAAAACCAAGCCGAGCGGCATGCCGCAGCCTCCAGAGTACGGGGCACGCCCGGGGCCGAGCGTGGAGCAGGTGCAGATGCAGGTGCAGGGCGTGCGCGGCATTATGCAAGAGAACGTCGATGTCATGCTTGCCAATATCGACAAGACCGAGGTGCTCGAGGACAAGTCTTCGGCCCTCGCGTCGCAGGCCAAATCGTTCCAAAAGACGTCGCGCGCGGTGAAGAAGAAGATGTGGTGCGCCAACATGAAGATGAACCTGCTCATCGGCTGTGTCTGCATCATCATCGTCCTTGCAATCGTCATTCCCGTTGTCACATCGGCCGGCAGCGCGGCGGGTGCGGCGAGCACAGTCACCGGCAGCAGCGAGAGCAGCAGCGCGTCGCCACCGCCGCCGCCGGCCGAGGCAGGGGCAGGGCGGCGGCTATCCTCCCTGCTCTTCTCGGGCCCGCTGCTGCACCACAGCTTGACAGAGACGGGCGACATCTCTTGAGCGCGCGCGCGGAGCATCTGTTGTGCGCAGCTCGCGTGCGCGCCGCCGCCGCTTGGTCTCGGAGAGAGAGGCCGCCACTACTAGAGCGGCGGTCCCGAGGATGGAGCGCGCGGATTCTCCCGCTGCTCGAGACGCGCGTTTGTGCCATGGTAGCTGTGTGGACGCATCTTCCTTGTTGTTCGGTGTTTTGTGGTGTGGCGGGCGGGTGAGGTCGGCTAGTCGAGACGGCCCCGGCAGTTTACTACGTACATTTCTCATTTGTTTAAAACGCCAGGCCAGGATCTCCCACAAAACGCCAGGCCAGGATCTCCCACCCACCCCGACGCCCGCGCGGGGGCGGGGGGGGCCGGGGGGGGGGGGGGGGTGGCAGACCTCCGCCCACGTCGGTCAGCTTTGGGTAGCGCTGCGAAAAGTGCGTGAGCAGCACGCGCCACGCGCCCATCCGCGCGCCGACGTCGAGCGCCTCGCCGACAGTCGAGTGGCGACGCGCCTCCGCTTCGGCCGCCATGCCCTCGGTGTCGTCGAAGGTCGCCTAGAGGGCGCGTCCACGACCTCTCCCGGACATGTCCTAGAGCGTGTCGCCGTGCCCTCGGCGTCGTCGCGAGAGGCCTCGTGGACGAGGATCCGGCAGTGTCTAGGAAGTGTCTAGGAAGTGTCTAGGAAGTGTCTAGGAAGAGGCCTCGTGGACGAGGATCCGGCAGCCCGGCAGCAGCGTCTTGCCGAGCTGCACGAGCCTGCAGGGAAAGGATGTCGGACCGCGTGAGCGCCAAGGGCGACACATGCAGGGAAAGCGGAGGAATGCAGTGGGGACACGTCTCTGAATACGCGGGGTCTGCAGTCGGCGTCTAGCTGCACGCGCCGCTCGCACGGCCGCGTGTCGCCAGAGTAGACGAGACCCCAACCCTCCGAGTGCTGCAGCGCGACGCCCCACGAGTCCGCGCAGTGATCCACGCGCGTCGACGCGAGCCAGCTGCACCCCAGCCGCCGGATCGCCGCACAGACCTACTCTTGGGCGATCTCGAGTCATCTCGGGTCATCTCCGGAGAGCCCATGCCGCCGGGTCGCCGCGCAGACCGCCGCGTCGGCGCCGGCCGCGCCGCAGTGCACAAAGCGGAACTCAACCGGGGAGTGAAGCCGCGCGGCGGCCTGCGGCGCGCAGACAGCGGCCGTCACGACACTGTCGCGTGTGAGGCCTGCCGCCGTGCCTCAGTCGTGAGCTCTCGTGTGGGTAGAGCGGCGTCTTCCCGCGGCATCGTGGCCGCAGCAGCGAGTGTGGCGATGGGGACTACCCCGCATCGGCGGGGGGGGAGCGGGGGGGAGCGGTGGCCTCGCGAAGCCAAACGCCGAGCGCGTGCGGGCCGACCACCAGCAAAGGCGCCGCGCCGGGGCGTGCGGACCTAGCCCGAGGGGTGCGAGGAGCTTCCGAGGAGCGTTCGAGGAGCTCCCGAGGCCTCTGGCGCAGCGCACACCGCAGCTCGAGCAGCCGCACCAGGCCTAGTGTACGAACGCAGGGGCAAATGAGGGTGCGACGACGGCGACGTGCAGGCGGCGTGCAGGGTGCTCGTAGCATCGCGCGAATCACACAAGGGCTACGGGCACACGGCAAGGGGGAGGAGTGCAGGGAGAGTGAGCTCCGCATCTGGGGCGCAGGCCGAGGTGGTGGTCGGCGTGCAAGTGCGAGATCCAGACCAGCGCGAGAGCGCGGACCACCTGAGGAAAGGGAGGGTAGAGTGGCGCGGCACTCCGAGTCGGCGTTGGGGGGGGCTGCTCCCCGCATCCCCACGTCTCGACGCAAGCAGGAGCCCCCGCGGCGGTTGCTCTGCAAGGGCCGTGACGTGTGGGGGGGGCAGCGAGAGAGCAGCGACCACCTCGTCGGCAGCGGCGCCGAACCGGCGGCGCAGCATTGCCAGCGTGCCTTCCCCGGCGTCAAAGAGGAGGCCACTCTCGCCGCCGCCGCCGCCGCCAACACCGCCGCCGTCTCCACCACCACCCCTGCCGTGACCACCGTCGCCGCCGCCGTGGCGGGCCGGCAGCTGGAGAAGGAACGAGCTCACGTTGCGGTACTTTGCCGGCATCGCCGCCCCAGTGCCGAAAAAGTGCAGCTGCGCGCGGCTCTGGAGCACCGCTGCGTCTCCCGCCCCCTCCGCCCCCTCCGCCGGCTCTCCCGCACCATCCGCCCCCTCCGCCGGCTCTCCCGCACCATCCGCCCCCTCCGCCGGCTCTCCCGCACCATCCGCCCCCGCCGCCCCCTCCATCTCCGCCTCCGTCTCTGCCGCCCCACCCTCGCCGCTCGCGCGTGCACCCTCCCCCGACGTGGCCTCGGAAGCCGCGGCGGGCAACGAACGCAGCTGCGCCTGCCACGAACCTTGCGGCTCGAGCAGCGGCGGCGGCAGCGCGCGCAGCTGAGAGCGCAGCGCCTCGAGGGCGCCGACCTCGGAGCGGAGCTCGGCGGGGGAGAGGGAGACCTAAGACACGAGGCATCGCCGTCACGGCCCCGAAATGTGTGTCCGAGGAGGCGACACGGCACCGAAATGTGACCTGGCACCCGGCGGAGGTGACCCACCGCTGCAGCCGCGCCTCCTCCTCGCGGTGCACACCCGCCTGTTCACAGCCGTGCCGTGCTTCAGTCACAGCTCCTCGGCCTCTATGCCAATCAGCTGGACTCCGCCGGAATGGATACTCTCCCAAGCCTCTGGCGTCCTGCTCCAGGCCTCGTCCGTGCACGAAACCCCGCTCGGGCGGCCGCAGCACGTGGCGATCTCGGCTGATCTCGGCTAGTCCGGCCAGTCTCGGCTAGTCTCCGCCCGCTCGAGCGGCCGCAGCACGAGCCGCGTCAGCATCCCCCCCTCGTGCAAGTCGGCGCCTGGTCACAACTCGCCAGCTGACGGAGGAGAGGGTCGGCGTCTCCCCCTCGTGCAAGTCGGCGCCGCCGCTCTCTCTGCGCAGCTCCGACCGCTCGCCGCCGTCCCCGCCCTCGCAGGCGAGCCCTCGCGGCGGCGGGAAGACCTCCGAGTTGAGGGCGCCTAGAAAAGAAAGTGCGCACGCTGAAGAGGGGCGCGCAGCACACGAGCACAAGCGCACCTCCCGAGCCGAGGGCGCCCAGCTTCAGCTGCAGCCTCGCCGAAGCGACAAAGGCGAACCGCCGCGGCGGCGGGGAGCCGTGCAGTAGCAGTTGCCGCGCCGCCGCGGGCAGCGCGCCGCAAAAGGCGCGGTACGCTGCCGTGGCGGCGACCGCGGCGGGCGTGAGGTGGACGACGGCGGAGAGGGCGGCGAGGCGGTCTGCGGAGAGGAGAGGATGGCGGCGCAACTCGCAGAGCTGCGAGGGCGAGGCGACGTCGACGAGCAGCAGCTCCTCGCCGGCGGAACCGCCCCGCAGCACCTGCTCTGGCCTCACCTCGGAGCCGTCGGCTAGCGCCACGCACTGCCCTGCGCACAGCCTGCCTCGCAGCGGACCGCTGGGCACGCCAAGCGCCTTTGCTGCGGCCGCGTCGAACTTTGGCGGGACGGCCGGCATGCGAAGGAGCCAGCAGACGCAGACCGGCTCTCTGCTCAGGTCACCCAACTCCCCGAGCACTGACTCGGGCGGCTGAGTGCCGCCGCCGCCGCTCCCGCCGCCGCCGCTGCTCCCGCCGCCGCCGCCGCTCCCGCCGCCGCAGCCGCCGACTCCGACACCATTGCGCACACCGCCGCCCTCTTCCTCGCGAGGCCGCTTCTGACCCACGCCCTCGGCGGCGGTGCTGGCGATGCCGGCGGCGGCGGAAGTGGTGGTGGCGGCGGCGATAGGAGCGGCGGAGGCGGCAGAGGCGGCAGAGGCGGCAGAGGCGGCGGGAGCGGCGGCGGCGGCGGCGGCTCCGAGTACTGACGTCGATGCGCCGAGGACGATGGGAGTCGCCTCGATGCCGCTCTCGGCGAGCGCGGCGACGGACCCGTCCACCACCTCGCACACTCGCCGCGGCAGCGGCCCGGCACCCATGAAGTGCCGGAAGGATCGGACCAGGCTGCCGAGGCCTGCAGGCCCATGCACGGCAGCAGCGCCGCCGCGCCCCGCGTCTTGCAGCGTAAAGAGCATTCCGGGCAGGCCGCCCATCGTCTCCCAGGTCAGCCGGGTGAGCAGCACGTCGCGGAGGCGAGAGGCGACCTTGAGCCGGTGCTCGCCGCAGAAGCGCTGCGAGCCCTCGCCGATGTTGCAGAGCACGACCGAGGCCTGTGCGCCGTCGCAAAAGAGCAGCAGTCCCGCCGGGAGGTCCCACGACCCGGAGCCAAGCACCTGCACGTAGGCTGAGCTGATGTTCTTGCGTGCGCTCGGCATGGTCGGGAGAGGCTCGTCCCGTCCTGCAAGCGGGAAAAAGAAGTTGATCGCGCGCGTTCCGCGCTCCCATCCCTCCCTTTTTTCTTTCTTTCTGGCATCGACTTGTATCCGACTTGGTGGTTGTGGTGATGTAGCGATTATTGGTGTTTCTCTGCGACCTCAGATACAACGAAAAAGAGATGAATTCGAAACGAAGTCGATGCGCCTCGCGCGTTACAGCCGAGACCAGAGATGGCGGTTCGTAGGCTCGACGTGCGGCGCGCACGTTCTCTCCTAAACACCTGCACCGACGAGGCGCTAAATCTGATCCTCGAAAGCGGGCCGCTCGACGGCGAGTCGCTGGAAGCCGACGCACGTCACCTCTTTGACATCATTTCGCTCCTTCTCGCACGAAGCGACCCCGCGGCGTGTCCAAAGTTGACGCGATGTGCTGCAGTGCTCGCCGGCGTGGAGCGTGCGTGGATTCTCTACCTGGAGCGACGCGAAGCTGACCTGGATGTCGTACAGCCGCAAGCACTTCGCGGCGTCAGCTTGGGTGCGGAGCCGGTGAGCAGACTTGCAACGCTCTCCCGCACGTGCTGATCTGAGGCAGTAACAGAACCTGAACCAACCCCTAGGTGTGCCTGCTGCAGTCGCTCGCCGCTGCCACATGCGACCATCTAACCAAAGACGTGGAGCTGCTGCACCAGCTGTCGAGCGACAGTGCGCTCACGATGTCGCTCGCTGATGGTCTACTCGATGCCTACATGCCTCGGCTCGTGAGAGAGGCCAAAGGCAACGCGGCCTCCATTTCCGCCAAAATTGGCTCCACCGGTGGAGACCCGCTGCGAGCCTGTAGCAGGAGCAGCACCGTCGACTGGCCGTTGCCGTGGCTAGTCGCAAACGGGATTGCAAGCGCGGTCGACTCCGTGGCTGATCGCATCCGAACAATGCCGATCCTACCATCTCGCATGAAGGCGCGCTCCCTCTGGGAAGGCCTCGCAGCGGCCGAGCTGCTCGCCCCACACCTCTCGGCCTTGCAAACGGCGCTGCAGTCGCACGTGGGCCGGCTGGTGTCGCGAGCGCTGTCGGTCGAAGAGCGGCGGGACGTTGCATGTCTCAAGCAGACTCTGCCAGCAATGACGGCGACAGGCCGAGAGCCCATCTTGGGCTCGTGCGCAACGGTGCTCGCCTCTCTGCGGCTGCACGCTACCGACGCTCTCTTCACGCATCTGCCGGCACTCAATCAAACGTTGGCAGATTCGCTCTACGACGCGGTGGCTGCCCTTTCGGCGCACCTCATCGCCGTCTCATCAGATGTCATCTCGTCAAACCCGGACCGACGCACCGCAACGCTCCCGACGCGCGTGCTGTGCGCCCTGCTCGCCTCGGCGCGGGGCATCTCGTGTTTCCTCGACAGCCTCGCCGACTCCCGCCCACAGATTGCGGCAGTGTCCTCGTTCCAGGCGTCGCGGAGCGAGATTGCTCGCACAGCAGAGGCGCTGCGCGGCGAGTTGTGCCAGACGCACGCGGGCTTGTGCGTGATGGGCGCACTCGCGGAAGGGCCGCAGGCACGCGAGGGAGTTTCCGCCAATCTCCTCCACATGGCTCTCCTCGTCAGTGGGGCTCGAGCCGAGCTCCGCCAACACGCACCCGGCGAGTGGCGGTCCATCCTCCTCTGTGTGTTGGGGCGAGCGTTGCTCTCCGTTATCGGAGCCCGGTGGGTGCACGGGCGGCGCGTGCGGCCGCTCGATCCGCAACGACAAAAGGCGGACCTCGTCTTTCTTCTCTGCGTGATCTCGGTCCACTGCCCCGCGGCGATCGAGCGCTTCGCGTCGCACGGCGACAGCCCTGACGCTGGTGCCGATGCTGCCGAAAGAGACGGACTCACGGGCGTCGGCCTGTGCCTGCTCTCGTTGCTGGCCCTCTGCGCGCCGGCAGGGCTGGTGGAGCAAGCCCGCGGCTGGCAAGCAGCGGCGGCGGCAGAGGTCGTGGCGGCAGGCTCGCACGAGGGTTGGCCCCTGCTCGCGCGGCGGGCGCTGCAAGACTGCCCCACCTCGCTCGCCGGTGCCGTGAGCAGCTTGACGGCGGTGGGAAGAGCCGATGCGAGCGCTGGCAGAAGCAGCCCGTCAAATCCGGAGGTTGACTTTGCGGCGCACGCGTGCCTCGCGGAACACGCGGTGAGGTGCGCTGTCGATTGGGATGCGTTGCTCCATTCGCTGCCCCCAGTTGGGACCGAGGCGTCTCTGCTCAACGCAGCTCGTCGGCAGCATCCGCCCGCAGAGGGGGGTGCGCTGTGATGGCCGTCTGCCGCCCTATCTCTCGTCGCAGTCTCTCGCCAATTCTCGCAGCGGCTTCACCTCCAGTCCGTGCCCGAAAGGAATAAACAGCCCCGCTCCGATCGGCTTTCTTTTTTTCGCACGACATAAACAAATAGAGCAGTCACCTCCAGTAGAGATGGGCGACGCACGAACACAGTTTCGCACGAAAAGAAAGAAAGAAAACAGACAACCCAAGGGAGGGATGGGTGTATAAATAAATAAATAAATACAACGGACATCCCAAGCTAGGGCTGGGTCGAGGACAGACACGTCCCCACCTTTGCAGGATTTTGCAAAAGCGAGGGGGGAGGGCGCATCGCCGCGCGGAGAGGGCTGGGCACAGGGCACAGGGGATCTCTCTCGCATAGGATATGGGATGGGTGGATAGGGATGGGTGTCACTGGCCTCAGTTCGGGCATAAAATTCTTTTTCTTTGGGAAGGGGGTCGGCGAGATCCTCTGGGGGGCGGCGAACGTGCTGCAGAACAAGCTGACGCGGGCCCAGTACCTCGATGAGGTGACTTGGACCACAAAGAGCTGGCTGGGGCTGCAGAAGCAGCGCCTCAGTCGTTCTTCACGCGGCCATCGCAGAGCAGGTTGTGAATGAGCTTGCCAGCGGCGAGGGCGGTCGAGTGCACGGAGCTAAGTGCCTCGCCGTCCTCGCGGGAGTCGCTTAGGCGGCTCCAGTGGTGTACCTGTGTTGCGTGCCCAGCGTTGTGCGAGCCGCGTGTAAAATTCTTTTTCTCGCGATGTCTGCCCCGCCGCTCCGCTCGCGCTGCCTCCTCGCCACCACCGCCTCCACCGCCGCGCCCTCGCCAGACACGCCGCCGCCCGCCCGCCTCCTCGACCTCCCCACCGACCTCCTCGTGCGCGTCGTCTCTCGCTGCGAAAGCCCCGCCGACATCGCTCGCGTCGCGGCCATCTCGCTGCTCTTTTACTCCTCACTCGCGGTGGAGGGCATCCGCTTGTGGGCGCAAGAGCGCGGCTACGAGCTGTCGGCGCTGCCAGAGGGCGAGAGCTGCGCTGTGCGGTGGCTGTGCTTTTCGGCGCTGCTGCGCGAGTCCAACCCGCCGGCGAGGGCTGCGGCAGGCACTTACCACAGCCTCTTCATCGACGGCGAGGGGCGGCTCTCGTCGTGCGGAAAGGCTGAGAGCTGGACGCCGGGACTGCTCGGGCACGGCGAGGGCGTGACGCGGCTCAACACGCCGACCCGCCTCCCCTCCCCGCTGGGCGGCGAGCGCGCCGTGAGCGTGTCGGTTGGAGAGTACCACAGTCTCGCCCTCACCGCCGGCGGTGCTGTCTGGAGCTGGGGCGGTGGAGCCTTGGGCCGGTTGGGCCACGGCGACGGGCAGAACCAGCTGCTGCCCAAGAAGGTCGAGGCCTTTGCTGGCCAGCGCGTCGTCGCTGTGTCGGCTGGAGAGTACCACAGCCTCTCCATCACCGCCGGCGGCGCCGTCTGGAGCTGGGGCTGGGGAGCCTATGGCCAGCTGGGCCACGGCGACCAGCAGAGCCAGCTACTGCCCAAGAAGGTCGAGGCCTTTGCTGGCCAGCGCGTCGTCTCGGTGTCGGCAGGATCCCGCCACAGCCTCGCACTCTCCGCCGACGGCAGCGTCTGGAGCTGGGGCTTTGGAGCCTCAGGCCAGCTGGGCCACGGCGACCAGCAGAGCCAGCTGCTGCCGAAGAAGCTTGAGGCCTTTGCTGGTCAGCTCGTCGTCGCCATGTCGGCTGCAATCAACCACAGCCTCGCCCTCACCGCCGACGGCAGCGTCTGGAGCTGGGGTTGGGGAGCCTTTGGCCGGTTGGGCCACGGCGACGATGAGCAGAACCAGCTGCTGCCGAAGAAGATCGAGGACTTGGCTGGCCAGCGCGTCGTCGCTGTGTCGGCTGGAGAGTACCACGGCCTCGCCATCACCGCCGACGGCGCCGTCTGGAGCTGGGGTGATGGAGCCTGGGGCCGGCTGGGCCACGGCGACCAGCAGACCCAGCTGCTGCCGAAGAAGATCGAGGACTTGGCTGGCCAGCGCGTCGTCGTTGTGTCGGCGGGAGGCGGCCACAGCATCGCCCGCACCGCCGACGGCGATGTGTTTACCTGGGGCAAGGGCGGCTGCCTAGGACACGGAGAGGACCTGTCGGACCAGCTGCTGCCCAAGAAGGTTGAGGGATGGCCGCCCAGCACGCCCGCATCCTCTTGACTTGGGTACGACTGAGCCGCATGTGGGCCCGTCCTCCGTGTTTGGAGGTGTGACAAACAAAAGGTGTGACTGACTGACTGACTGTTTTCACGTACGTTTAGCTTAATGGGAGGAAAGGGAGAACTTTGTATGATGTGAACTGGCACTAAGAGTGAATTTTCTGGCGTATGTAATCTCACAAATCAGTGTGCGCGCAAGTCCGAAACGGCGTGCTGCGGTTTCTTCATCCTGCCTTGCTGGTTACTTCCCCCAGGATTGGTCTTCTCTGCCTGCGGGAACACCCTCGGGCGGCCGGGTGGGGCTGCGGCTGGAGCTAGCATGGCTCGATAGAGCCGAGACCCCGTGTGTTGAGGCGGCGCTCCTGTGGGCGGCTGTGGAATCGGCAGATTCGACCTCAGATCTCCAGTATTCTCATCCCAGAGAGAGAGATTTTTAGCAATACCAAACAAATCTAACACTCACACTTGTTTTGCATCCCAGTGGATGGACGTCCGGACGTCCCTTTGTGTTCCTCTCCCCGTCCGCCAGCGAGACGCTCAGTCGCTGGCGGCCGCAGTTTTCTGTGAGGTGGGAGGAGAGGAGAGGACAAGTGGAGATGGCGCAGCAGCAGGCACCACCAGCTGCGCTGGCTCCCATCGCCGTCGTCGTTGACGAGGTTCAGATCAACAGCGACGCAATGCTCGTTCTCGCTCCAGGTGCTCAGCACGTAAGGGACCACACGTCTTTCTTGAACTGGGCTACCGTGTACAACGGTGCAGCAGCAGTGGCCAGCTACACCCTGGGGCAGAGCGACGCCAAGGGCGCCTTCCTGCCGAGGTGCCAGTTCAGCGGGGACCAGCAGACAGGCACCCTCCTCGATGGGAATCACGTTCTCAATGTGTTTTTCAACGGAGCATTCTGGTCGCGGCTCTTGACCGCTCTGGATGCTGCAAACCTCTTCGCCACCTCCATGGAGAAGATCGGCGTGCTGCACCAGCGGCTCGCCGGTCTGGTGATGGCCAACCCGGGTGTCTGGAGGATCGCGCACACGGACATTTTTCTTGGTGAGGACTTTGACGCGCCCGCCGTCCCAGCGGTGGCCGCGGGGAGAGGCCGAGGCCGTGGTCGAGGAGGCCCGGCTGTGGCAGCAGTCCCTGCTATGCCCGGACCGCCAGACCTGCTCTTCCTCACGCACCTCCCGCTTCACGCGCTCGAGGTGGACGGGGAGCTGCCTCTGCTCTCGTACTCGCTGCTCTCTTTCTGTCTGGGGCCGACGGCTACGAGGGCGGCCCGCCTTCCTCTGGCGGCCCCTGCGCGGATCATAGCCGGCCTTCTTCAAGGGGCTATTGTGCAGAGCTTCGGGACGGCGGCCGCCAACCCGGCGATGCTCGCGCTCCAGATCCCTCGCCTGCTCAAGGGCTCCTCGCTCCCCGTCCTCTTTCAGTCCACCGCCTCGGACCCGTACACAAGGCTCGAGGACTTCACGGACATGCTCCGCATGCAGTCCGGCGGTGCAGATGAGAGGCGGCGCATCGAGGAGAGGCGGATCAAGCTCGCCACCTCTCTGGGCGCGCTCTACCAGCTGGTCATCCAGCCGTCGCCTTCGGCCCAGACTGCGACCACTCTGGTGAGCCGCCTGGCCGCCAAGATTCTGACTGCGCCCCAGCTCAAACTGTCGCTCGCGGACCAACTTGCCATCCTCTCGGCAGTCGTCCATGATCGGCGGCATCTTGTCCAAGCCGGAGCTTCCGCGGAAGACGCGGTCACCGCTCTGATGGCGGAGAACCTCCTCTACGACGGGGGGCGAGTCCCGGGCGGACCTGCCCCGGGTGCTGACGGCGGGCCTGATGTGTCTGCCCACGCTCTCCCGAGCCGCCTCATCGAGAAGGCTTCGATGCTGCCCAAGTTTCAAGCGCTCGCGGGCGCAATCGCGGGACTGGACACCGCCAACTCCGAAGTCAGGCGCCAAATCCTGGCAGCCTCGTTCGCAAGTGGGAGCGACATCGTCTTCCGAGTTGTCCTCGGGCCTGGGGGCCGCGAGGCCAGGATGAATGCGACGCTCGCCAAGATTGCCCACTGCAAGGTGGAACTACCCACCTATCTCACATGGTGCCTGGTGGTCGGCAGCGGCGGCCAACGCCAAGAGGAGCTCGGGAGGTACCACCTCACGGGCCTCGACGGCACAGAAAACCGCCTCTTCAAGTCGTTCATATCGGGCAATCTGGTCGGCACCGACTACATGAATGGCCCGAACGGCGCGCTGGACTGGGTCGGCTCAAGAATCCGGCACAACTTCCCACGCGTCCACCCAAAGGATCTTTACACCATCCGAGACAAGGTCCGCCACCTCGGCGCGTTCCTTAATAAGCTCTTCGTGGGCATCGGCTTCCTGGAGGCAGTCCCAGCTGGTGAAGGCTTCACCATGAAGACGTGGTTTGAGTTCTACATAGAGCAGCGCTCGACCTCACCAGCTACTACACGCTCTATGAGCGAAAGTGCAATCACCTTTATCAGTGCAGCCGGCAGATGGGGGCCTTCCTCCGCCTCGCCGAGATCGCCGTGGAGAGCCTCAAAACGAGGTCGCACCCCGGCGAGGAGGGATTTGGGGCGCTCGCTCCCGAGGACTGCCAGCCGGCAAAGATCCTCCGCGGCCGAGTCGAAACTGCTACCTGGCGGAACGCGGCGGAGCAGCTTGACGAGGCTCCTATCAGGCCGGTCACAACCTGCGACGGAGATCTCTTGCCGTTGCTTTCGGAGTGGGAAAACCACCCGTGGGACAACCGCCAACCGGGTAAGCTGCCCAAGCCCAACCCAGCACGGCGAGGCGGCCCCTCCGCCAGCTGCGACGGTCGTCATGGGGGTCAAGTGGCAGCAAATGGAGCGGAGGTAACCTGCGCGTCTGGCCGAAAACGCCGCCATGAACAGCGGCGCGAGCGTCAGCGCTACCAGGGCGCATCATCGTGAGCGGTCGGGCAGCGGCTACACAGCCCGGCTTGTGTCGATCGTCAAGATATCAATGGACGCACTCAAACTCCATCGTGTCTGGAGGCACTCAAACTCCATCGTGTCTGGAGGCACTCAAACTCCGTCGTGTCTGGAGGCACTCAAACTCCACCATCGTGTCTGGAGGCACCATCGTCACGCGGCGGTCGGGTGGCGGCTACACAGCCCGGCAGCGTGTCAATCACATCGGAAGCTCGCGGCACCGCATAGCGGACGCGCGAGGTACCGTAGTTGCTGGTGTCGGACGCTCGCGGCACCGCACAGCGGACGCGCGAGGCACCGCCCAGCAACAGGCGACGGAAGGAGGCTCACGGCACCGCGCAGCGGACGCGTGAGGTACCATCCTCGCTGGAGACAGACGGACGCTCGCGGCACCGCATAGCGGACGCGCGAGGCACCATCGGTTTCCATACACAAGCGGAAGCTCGCGGCACCGCATAGCGGACGCGCGAGGTACCGTCATCAACAGCGGCGCGGCGAGGCAACTCGGCGCGTCTCTCAAGGGTGGGAACCTCTTATCACCATCGGCATCTGTTCGTCCTCATCTGCGTTTGCATCACGGCTGTATTGGCGATCGTCAACGCCATGACATAATCGCCATCATCCTCATGCCCAGCTTGCGCGTAGGGAGGAGGAGGCTGCGCTGCGCAAGCACGGGCGGGAGGGGTTTCTCCTGCGGAGTCGTGCGTGCGCAGGGCTCCTCTTTGCTTTCTTCTACTCCCTACTATCATCTCGTTCCCGTCCTACCAGAGAAGGTTACTTCCCCCAGGATTGGTCTTCTCTGCCTGCGGGAACACCCTCGGGCGGCCGGGTGGGGCTGCGGCTGGAGCTAGCATGGCTCGATAGAGCCGAGACCCCGTGTTGAGGCGGCGCTCCTGTGGGCGGCTGTGGAATCGGCAGATTCGACCTCAGATCTCCAGTATTCTCATCCCAGTGGATGGACGTCCGGACGTCCCTTTGTGTTCCTCTCCCCGTCCGCCAGCGAGACGCTCAGTCGCTGGCGGCCGCAGTTTTCTGTGACCCACCCACCTCTCCCTTGTGTTTTGTCTGGGGAGGGGCTTCTCCTGCGGAGTCGTGCGTGCGCAGGGCTCCTCTTTGCTTTCTTCTACTCCCTACTATCATCTCGTTCCCGTCCTACCAGAGAAAGTAAGTCGCGGTATTTTTTCGAATAGCAAACGCGCATATGCCTGCAGCGCATCTTTAAGATGAAATTAAAGCATCACCGATGTTGCTGCACCTGCAGCTCTCAGTGTCTCTGTGTGCGAGCGCAGCTTGTGAAACAGGCCCTTAAGATAAAAAAAGCATCACCGATGTTGAAGCACGAGCAACAGCCGCTGCCGATGCCCCATTTTGAGACCCAGCGACGCCAGCTCTGCCAGCAACGCCTGTGGCTCCTCCCTACTCCAAGCCGCGAGGGCGCTGGCGCTCGCCGCGTCGCCTCTCGCCCGCAGCGCCGCTGCGAGCTGAGGCCAAACCTCTGCGCTTCCGAGCGTCTCCCGCAGGAGCGCCTCCGCGTCTGCGTCGGCCGGCGACGACGGCTCGGGCGCGGCCGCCGGCGCCGGCTCGGCTGGCGGCTTCGCGGGCGGGCCGCCGAGCGTCTTTGCCAGGGCCGCTAGCATCACGGCCGAGGAGGAGCGCGCCTCCTCGCGCCGCATGTCGTAGAACGCGTGGATCTCTGCCGACTCAAGCCCTCGCGGCCGCGGCAGCTCGACGCCTCCCGACTCAAAGTAGGCGCGCGCCTCGGACTCGATCCACGCCACCGCCTCGGCCGGCAGCTCGAGGTCGTCCGCGAGGCACTCGGACTGCAGCTCGCGAAGCCGCTCGAGCGTGAGTGGCATATTGTGGCCTGAACCTTGGAAAGAATTTTACCGTTGGCCGCGAGGTTTCTTTTGTTTGTCCTTCTCCCACCCCTTGTTTGGTGTGTCCGTTTTATTTATTTTGTTGAAGAAATTTGCGGCTTTAGGAAGGTGAAAAGCAGTTCTCATTCAGGCTCGGACTGGACACCAGGTCACCAGCGCGGTGTGTGGGGGGGGGACGCGGGACAGGAGATGACGGCACGCTGGAGCGACACAGACACAAAACTAAAAGTTCTTTTTTCAGTGTATGTAGCTCTTACGTACATTCCCGTAGGAGACTCTGCTGACAGGGTTTGCGATGAGGAGCGACCCGAAGGGTTTCTCGGAGGTTAGTGCACCACTAACATGTAACCGCCGAATTTCGTGAAGAAAGAAAGAATTTTAGGAGAAAAGAAAGAGAGAGAGAAAGGAGTGGTTCAATTTTGCGCGGGAGAGCTCTTCGCGCTTAAAAAGAAAGAAAGAAAACAGACAACCCAAGGGAGGGATGGGAGGACGGCACGCCGCCACCACACAGGGATTTTAAGGAGAGGGGTGTGGTGCGCTAGCCGTCGCCCACCCTTGGGCGTCCGCCTCTTCCTATCTCTCTTCGCATTCTCTCTCCGATTCTCGCTGCGACCTTCGTGCCACCTGGAAATTTCCGGAAACGCAAAGTGCTGGGGACCCTCTGTTTTCCTTTTTGTTTGCCGGAAAACCTGGTACAGGCCAAGCTCAGTCAGGTCCACTCTCTCTTCGAACACTTGCGCTTTCACGGATGATGCCGGCGCTGGGGTCCCCTTCGGGTGCATCGTAACAGCTGACAACGGGATTTCCACTGGTTCGAAAAAGAAAGAAAGAAAACAGGCAGCCCAAGGGAGGGATGGGAGGACGGCACGCCGCCACCACTGGTTCGTCCTCGCGCTTTGCAAACGCAACATCTTTTTTTCGGCGCTACATAAGATTCTTGGCGCGAAACACTGGCGCGAAGCTGCAAAGATACACATATGCAGTCAGACGCGGCTCCTGCTGGGGACAACACGTACGACGAGGACGGCGAGAAGCTTGGCGCCTTCCTGCAGGACTACACCGAGGAGGATGAGGTGGGAAACCCGCTGCGGAAGTACATGAAGGTGCTGGAGCAGGTCGCCAACCGTGAGGCGAGGCGCGTCGACATCGAGCTCGACGATGTGGCGGAGCACATGGGCGAGGAGATGGCGGAGAAGGTCCGCCGCAACACGCTGCGCTACAAGGAGATCATCGCGTGCGCCATCGACAATGTGCTTCCCGCGCCGACCGCCGCCGCCGCCGACCGCGACGTCTTTGACGTCCTGATGGAGGAGCGTACCCGGGCGGCGGCGGCGGCTGCGAGCGACGCGGTGGGAGGCGTGGACCCCAACAACAAGGTCCCGGCCGAGCTGACGCGGCGGTACCAGGTCTTCGTCCTGCCGCGCGTCAAGGACAAGTCGGTGCCGCTGCGGCAGGTCAAGGCGAAGCACATCGGCTCGCTGCTGACGCTCAAGGGCATCGTGACGCGCGTGACGGAGGTGAAGCCGCAGATGAAGGTGGCGACGTACACGTGCGAGCAGGACGGCACCGAGGTGTACCAGCTCGTCCACGGCACCACCTTCATGCCGCAGACCAACTGGAACGGCATGACGCTCCACCTCCAGGCGCACGAACCGCCTCTCGGCCCAGCCCCGCCGCCCAAGCCCTGGCCGGGCCCCACCGGCCCCACGACCCCGCGCGCACCTCCCCCCCCACCGCCCCTCCCGTGCCGCGCCACGCCGACACCGACCGCCCCCTCGCGCCGCGCGCCGCCAGACGCGCGGCTCCAAGTTCGAAAAGTTCCAGGAGGTCAAGATCCAGGAGGAGCCCGACCAGGTGCCGCAGGGCCACGTGCCGCGCGCGATGACGGTCCACCTGTACGGGGACATGACGCGCCAGTGCGCGGCGGGGGACACGCTCACCATCTCGGGCGTCTTCCTCCCCGTCCCCTCCTCCGGCTTCCGCCAGCTCAAGGCGCGCCTCGCCCCCTCCGCTTCCGCCCCGGCCGCCAAGCCACCTCCGCCGAGGCTTTCGCTCGCCGCTTCCCCGTCTCGCCGCCCATTGCTCGACCCGCGCGACTGAACCGCCGCGCGTCCCGCCGCCCGACCGCACAGGCGGGCCTCATCACCAACACCTTCCTCGAGGCCATGAGCGTCGAGAAGCACAAGAAGTCCTCCGTCGACTTCACGCCGACCGCGGAGATGCAGGCGCGCGCGGCTCCGCGCAGTAGGGGAGGCGGCCGGAGAGGGGAGGAGGGCGGGAGCCGCCCGCACGCTGCCGCTCGCTCTCCCTGCCGCACTGCCTGCCTCTCGCCCACCCCGCGCCTCTCGCCCACCCCGCGCCTCTCGCCCACCCCGCGCCTCTCGCCCACCCCGCGCCTCTCGCCCACCCCGCGCCTCTCGCCCACCCCGCGCCTCTCGCCCCACCCCGCGCCTCTCGCCCCACCCCGCGCCTCTCGCCCCACCCCGCGCCTCTCGCCCCACCCCGCGCCTCTCGCCCACCGCAGGAGGAGCTCGACGAGCTCGCCGAGGAGCCCGAGGTCTACTCCAAGCTCGCCCAGTCGATCGCGCCCGAGATCTTCGGCCACGACGACGTCAAGAAGGCGCTCCTGCTCCTCATGGTCGGCGGCGCGACGCGGAAGATGTCGGACGGCATGCGGATCCGCGGCGACGTCAACATCTGCCTGATGGGCGACCCTGGCGTCGCAAAGTCGCAGCTGCTCAAGTACATCGCGAACACGGCGCCGCGCGCCGTCTACACGACGGGCAAGGGCTCCTCCGGCGTCGGCCTCACCGCCGCCGTCGTGCGCGACACTGTGACGGGCGATCTGGTCCTCGAGGGCGGCGCGCTCGTGCTGGCCGATATGGGCATCTGCTGCATCGACGAGTTTGACAAGATGGAGGAGGGCGACCGGACAGCCATCCATGAGGTGATGGAGCAGCAGACTGTCTCGATCGCAAAGGCGGGCATCACCACCACCCTCAACGCGCGCACCTCCGTCCTCGCCGCCGCCAACCCGGCCTTTTCGCGCTACAACACCAACCGCTCCGTCGAGGAGAACATCAACCTGCCCGCCGCGCTCCTCTCGCGCTTCGACCTGCTCTGGCTGATCCTCGACCGGCCGTCGCACGCCAACGACAAGCGGCTCGCCGAGCACGTCACCTACGTCCACCGCTTCTCCACCCACCCCGCCCTCGAGTTCGACCCCGTCTCGCCGCAGCTGATGCGCGCATACATCGCAGACATTACAAAGATCGAGCCCTCCGTGCCGCCGGAGCTGGCCGCCTACGTGGTGGACGAGTACGTCGCGATGAGGCAGGACGCCGCTGAGAACGTCGAGAACGGCTACGGCTTCACCTCGGCGCGCACGCTGCTCGCGATCCTGCGCCTCTCGCAAGCGCTCGCGCGGCTGCGGCGAAGCGGGACCGTCAGCCGCGACGACGTGGTGGAGGCGCGGCGCCTCATGTCGCTCTCCAAGTCGTCGGTGCTGCAGGTGGGCGACGACGACCGCGACAAGGCCAAGCAGCGCGGCGATGCCGTCTCACAGGTCTACCGCATCATCCGCGAGCACTGCGACAAGTCCAAGGCGCCCGCCGTTGCGATCGCCGAGATCCTGCCGAAGGTGCTCTCGCGCGGCCTCACGCAGGAGGCACTCGACGAGTGCCTCAGGGAGTACGCGGAGCTCGACGTGTGGCAGCTCGCCGGCAACGGCACGATCATCCGCTTTGTCGATGCCGGCGACGACGACGACGCGTAGCTGCCGAGCAGAGCTAGTAGCGCCCCCTTTTGTGACCAGTTAAGGGGAAACCCGGTACACCGCGGAGCTAAAACCCTCGGATACCCGTGTTATGGCCCTGCGACACCGCGCACACACCCCTTCCGTACCATGCGGAATCGACCCTATCCAGTGCTCAAGTGCTCAACAAAACTCTCTCGCACAACACCGGCACGGGACTGGTGCGCACTGGCACAAAAAGGAGTCCCCGACTATCTAGAGTCCGCTCTCATTAACTCGGGTATTTCGGACGCGTCCCTGGACGGACGCATCATGGTTGGACCTCCCACTCCGTCGGCAGTCGCGCGTTACCTGCCCCACCCAACCCCTGCGCCTCCATACACGGAGGGCGAGCTAAAAGTACGTACACGGAGAAAGGGAGAGGGAGGTGAAGTACAAAACGGCTACAACATGGCCAAGCCCCTTTGCCTCACCAGCAATGTGTTCAAGGACCCGCATCTCAACTTTGCATTTGGAGGCACCGCCGATTTTCGCGGCCGCCACGGCGTGCTCTACAACTTTCTGTCTGCGCCGGGCCTTTCAGTCAACATCAAGACGGAGGAGGCGATCTTCAAGATCCACGACGGCGCGCTCACGGTGAACGGCTCATTTTTGACAGAGGCGCACGTGGTCGTGCGAGTCGGTGCAGTGGGCGGGCATGCCGGGCACAAGGCGACCGCCTCGTTCTGGTCGACCGAGCTGAACGAGCACAACTGGGGCTTTCAGGTGGTGAACGGAAGCTGCGGCGGTCGCCCCTTCAAATTCGGTAAACACGGGGGGAAGAAGTGCTTCGAGCTCACCATGGCAATGGAGCACTCTTCCGCCTACTTCGCCCTGCCGGATTGGACCGTGACCGTCCACGGAATGCGCTCTGTTCCAAACGACCTGGACTGGGTCGCGGGGCCCCGCCATCGGCTGGACATCAGCTTCGCCAGCCGCGGCTCGCTCGCCCGCTCCAAGCCACACGGACTTATAGGCCAGTCGTTTGCCACCCCGGGCCTGGTTACGCTTGTCCTGTCGAAACGCACTGTACAACGGCCGCCGAGAGTAAACATAGGACGTTTGCCCGCCTCATAGAGCAAAGCCGCCCAATGCGTCGTGGCCCGTGCCGGCAACTTCACGGGGGCTGGACGCGGTAGAAGAAGGCCGTGTTCGGCACAGCTCCGTGAGATTACGCATAAGCCGGCCAAATCTCCAATCTTGCCCTTTTACTATGGCAAGCGCATGCCGACGGTCTACTTTTGGGGCTGCCTGATCTTCGCTTTCTTTAGCTTGCTGCTGCCTGCGTGGTTGGGAAACACAGGGAGGGAGAGGGAGGGAGGTGTTCTCTATCTGTGTACTGTGTGGAAAATTGTCAGGCAGGCAGGCAGTAAACAAACAAAGACGCCGGATGAGAGTCGTTGCTGATCTAGCCGTCGATCTCTGTCGGCCTGTCCCCGTTCTCGACTGTTCGTGCTTGCGCTTCTTTGGGCCCAGGGGCGCCAAACCTCGAGGGCCAAACGCGAGTGACGCGCACTCCCTCCATGACTCCCTCATGAGACATGACGCCCCAACCCCCCTCCTGCTTGAGCGCACAGGCCTTCTAGGCCCGCGAGTAGCCCCTCCCCATCCCCGCGGCCTCTCCGGGGCACGCACCTCACCCTCTCTCGTAGACACACAGCACACCCTCTCGCACTACATCTCAACAGGAAGCGCATCCGTGAACAGCCCCTGTCCTCTCTTCCCTCGAGATCAGAAATCGACAGACACAAAAACATGGGCTTCCGTCGCACGGCCGCCTCCTCCGGCGCCTCAAGCGGGCCGGGCAGCGTCCCCGCCGAAGACCTCCGCTTCGCGTCCACCGCAGTGCTCGAGCAGGCGCCCGCCGCGCCGCCGCGCCGCCCGCCGCGCCGCCGCAAGCCTGAGCCGCAGCGCAAAGCACTGTGCACAGACACATGGTTCTCGCAGCGGAGAGCGCGAGCCGCGCGCGAGTTCCCGCGCGCCCCTCACCGTGCGATGCCTTCCCACTCCGCCGTCCTCCGGCCCGCAGGTCGCAGCCGAGTGCAGCGAGATGCCCGAGCAGGAAGTCGTGCCGGCCGAGGGAACGGCCTCTGGCGGCAACGGCTCGTCCACGCCGTGGGCGAGCAGCTCCGACCCGGAGAGCAAGGCGGACGCGGAGGCGTCGCAGGCCTCCGTCGCGCCGGACACCGTCGCTGCCGGCGAGGCGGCGGGCGGCGTCGGCGAGGAGGAGCCCGAGGCGCCCTCGTCGCAGGTCCCGGAGGTCGTCGAGACGGACGTCGAGGAGCACGAGGACGACGAGGACGGCGACGGAGAGGTCGATCCCGCGGCGAGGCCCGCGCCCGCAGGCTCGCCGGCGCCGATCCCGGAGGTTGTCGAGACGGACGTCGAGGAGCACGAGGGCGACGAGAAGGAGGCGCCGCCGAGCGACCCCTTTTCCATGCCCGAGAGCGAGCCAGTCCACCCGCCGCCGGCCGCGGCCGCCCCGCCGGGAGAGGGGACGTTGTCGCCGCCGCCGCCTCGCCGCCGGGGCCTGCACCAGCCAGCGGTCCGCACCGCGCCGGCGGCGCGCAAGAGGCCCACGCCCGCTCCCGCCACCCCGTCGGCCGCTCACGCGGCGCTGACCGAGGCGTCGCTCGAGGGCGACGCGCCGGCCGAGGAGGAGGGCGACGGGCCCACGCCGAGCGCGGCCCCGCCCGTCCGCCGCAAGCTCGACTCCAAGCCGCGCAAGCTGGGCCAGCCCTCTGGAGCGGCCAAGTCAAAGCCGACGCCGCAGCGCAAGCCGGGGGAGAAGCCGCGTGCACAAAAGTCGCGCGGCGAGGGCGCTGCGTCCGAGCCAAAGAAGAAGAAGGCGAAGAAGGACCCGGACGCGCCGAAGGGGGCGCTCTCGGCGTACATGCTCTGGTCGATGCAGGAGCGCAAGTCGGATGCCTACGCCGGCATGAAGGTGCCCGAGGCGGGCAAGGCGCTCGGCGCGACGTGGAAGACGATGGACGAGGCGGCGAGGGCGCCGTGGGTCGAGGCGTCGAAGGAGGACCACGCGCGGCACGCTCGCGAGATGGCGAGCTACGTGCCCAGCCCCGAGTACGCGCGCGCTCAGGCCGCCGCGCCCAAGGCGCGCTCCGGCAGCTCCGGCGGCGCCAAGAAGGCGGCGACGCCCGCCTCGCGCGGAGGCGGCAAGGGCGCGGCCGCGTCGGCCGCGAGCAAGAAGAGCGCCGCCGGCCGCAAGCGCAAGGCTCTGGCTCGAGGCGACGCGGACTCGTCCGACGACGAGGCCACCCCTTCCAAGCTCGCCTTCTCTCCCCCGCCGCCGCTCGCGGACGCGCCGCCGCCAATGCTGGAGGACGTCCGGCTGCTGCCAAAGGAGCGTGCCCCCATGCGCGCGCTCAAGCTCAAGGCGCGCGGCGCGCCTCGCCGGACCTCGCCCGCCCCCTCCATGAGCTCTGAGCCTGCCTCGGGCCGCGGCGCCGCCCGCCGCGCCCTCGCCCCGCTCTCCACCCCCTCCTCCGCGCCGCAGGTTGGCGCGAGGGTGGCGTGGGTCCCGCAGTGCTACAACGAGTTTGCAAAGCGCTACGAGGCGGAGCTGGACGCGCTCCAGCTGGTGATCGACGTGCCGGCCGACCTGCTCGAGAGCCCCGCCGACGGCACCGCGCACTGCGCCGAGATCGTCGCCATCCACCCCGCCGAGACGGAGGGGTGGGAGCTGCTCACTCTCCGCGGCGTCCCGTTCGGCGGCGGGTCCGGCGCGAGCGAGGGGGCAGAGTACTGCCTGCCGTACGTGCCGCGCCGGCTCTGCGACGTGGACCAGCACGTCTGCGCGCTCAAGGAGTACCTCGCCTCGCGCGAGCGCGCCCTCTCCGCCTCGGCGTCTCCGCACGTGCGCGTGCCCTTTGCCGCGCCAGACAGCGAGGGCGAGGAGGAGCTGTGGGAGGGGCGGGTGTGGAGCCGCAAGCCCTTCGACGCCCTCAACTACCCCGACTCGCTCTACCGCTGCCTCAACTGCGTGTGGTACGTCGCCTCCCCCCGCGAGCACGAGGGGGCGTCGATCCAGCCGCTGTGGGTCTTTGACGAGGAGCAGACGGACAACCAGGCGCCCGAACGCTCCACCCCCCCTCTCTCGAGTCGGCGGACACCGAGCCGCGCGTCCCGCCTTCCCCGCCATCAGGTGAGCCCGTGGGAGGCGCTCCCGAGCGACACGCACGGCCGCTGGTCCAAGCTGAACCCTCCGCTCGCAAAGCTGGTCGACCAGCTGCGCGTCGACCGCGACACCTACTCCAAGCTGGTGCCCGCCTCCGAGTCGCTCGAGATCACGGACGCGCTCGCCGGCCAGGCGGGCGCCAGCGGAGCCGCGCTCGAGCGCCTCCGCCAGGACACCTTTCTGCGCGTGCTCAAGCGCCTCCAGAGCAGCGAGCCCGGCCGGTACTTCCAGCCGCCCGTGCCGGCAGACGAGGTCGAGTACTACCGGCAGGTGGACCGCCCGATGTGCCTGGCCGCGGTCCAGTCGGGGCTGGAGGGGTCCAAGTACGCCTCGTGGGCCGCCTTCGAGGCGGACGTCGTGCTCATCTACGGCAATGCCATGGAGTTCAACGAGGAGGACTCGCTCCCCTTCTACCTGGCGCAGATGCTCGAGCACGAGTTCAACGAGGCCAAGGAGCTCGTCCGGCAGGCGCTGCCGGCCGTGCTCGAGTGAGCGACACGCGCGCTCAGGGCGCGGGGGAGAGACCGCGCCGCGAGCGCGAGCGCACTGCCGCTGCAGGCCAGAGCGGCGCTCAGCGGGGCGAGATGAGCGCCTGCCGCTCGACTGCCTCAAGATGGCCGATTGGCGAGACATGCGAGACTCTTTGTGGATGCTTGTAGCTTGAGCGAGAGCGCAAACTCTTGCCTTTATGGCTCGATGCACGATGAGGTGCCGTGGGTATGTGGCTTACGCACGGGGAGGGATGGCGGGAATGGTGTGAAAATCGTGGTTGGCCGCACCCACTGCACCAACCTTTCACCTGCCAGTGGCCGGGGCCGCGCGCGCGGTGCCCTGTTGCCCCCTCGGCAGCGCGCCGCAGCGCGCAGGCGCGCAGAGTGGCGAGCCGCGGCGCAGCGCGGCGCAGCGTTTTTCGGCGCTCGCGCCAAGGTCGGCTGTAACCTCGATCCGCTCAACCTCCTGCGCTTGCGCAGCTGTATGCGACTTGAGTGTGTGTGAGCGCCTGTGTCGTGATTCAGGGCTCAATTTTTGTGCTCTGCTGCACTGATAGAGCCGGATGGTTTCATGACATGGCCCCCCGGATCTCTGTCTCCTCGAATCAGCGTCTCAGTCTCAGATCCACACGTCTCTAGAGTGCGCTGGCAGCGAGAGCTACAACTACTGACCCAGCACTCGAGCTGAAGCCATCCGCTGCGAGATCCCTTTCAGAGAGTTGCTGCCAGACCCCGTGGTGGCTCGCACCACCGCTGGCGCCCACAGCCCTTCATCCGCGACGTGCGTGTGGCCCAAGGGTAGCGTGCCGGCGGGAAGGGGTCGTCCTTTCCACCCACGAGGCAGCGCTGGAGGTCAGTGGTGGTACGGGCAGGCGGGCCCGCATACACAACGCCACCGCCTTCTCTCCATTCGGTCATCAGCCCATGTGAGGAAACGGTTGTGCGCGCGAAGCTTCGCTCGGCTCGCCCAACGAAGTAGAGGTCTGCGGAGAATCCAGGATAGACGCAGTTCGTTGCAGCCGGGTGTGCTCCTGACAAAGCCCCTGAGCTGCCGGCACGAGGCTGCGAGCGCTCTCGCGATCCCACTTTCCTGGCTCATAAGTAAGCCGAGGAGGTCAAAGGAGAGCCGAAGGAGGGGAGGCTGAGGGTCGACCACAGCCACCGACTCCTCTCGGCAGGGGGGCGTCATTTGTCGTTAGCCAGATTCAGGCCGCGGCGGCCGGGTGACGACACTCTCGGCAGGTAGAAAAGGACGTGCTGGCGCGCGGAAGATAAGTTTGAGCTACGGTGAGATCGTCGGTAGGTGACTCTGGAGAAGCAGCCGTGGAGATGTCGGACGGAGAGGTCCTGATGACGGCCGACACGACCCGACTGAGCCGATACAATGACCGAGGTGGCGGCGGCGTACCGGACCACGGTTGCCTTCGAGGAGATGATGAGGAAGGAACCGGGCGCCCGGCCGAGCCCCCCAGCGACCGACGCTGATCCTGGCCACGGACGCGTCCACGGTGATGGGGACCGAGATGGGGGTGGTGCAGCGCATAGCTGGTCGGGGGGGGGCACTCGACCCCAAGGACTTGGCGTCGATGCGGGCCACGGACCTCGACGAGCTGAACGTGGCGGCACCCGAAACGATAGGCGGGCCGGTCTGGGTCTATTTCCTCGACGATAAGGGCGGCTTCAGGGCGGACTGGGTACTGGTGTGGGCGACCCCACACCCGGGCTCGGGTCTGACCAGGGCCCACATCCAATATGTGGGTCGAGACACCCCGCACAACGAGCCGGGATGGGGGGCGGGCTTCTGTGGCGTGACATGCCGCGGAGAGCAGGACCTGCAACCAGGCCGCTCGGGGAAGGTTGACCGGCTTGTCACCCGAAGCGCCAGCGGCTGGACCACCTGCCTGGACCTTGAGAACGGTGTGATGGCTATCCCGGCGAAGGGGGGGCCCGGAGCGAGGGAGGTGTGCGTCGATGGGAGAGAGGTCGACATCTCGATGCCCCCGGAGGAATGGCGGGATCCCCTCGAGTTTGTGGTGCGGAAGACCGTTCGGGTGGCTCGACAGCTCACGACGATGCAACCCCGTAAGCGGCGGGCGGTTGGGGCGCGGTTGCGGAAATGGGCGGGGACGTCGGTCGATGAGATACTCGAGGCGACCATGTCCGTGGCGCGAGAGCGACCCCACGAGCAGGCTCGCGGCGCCGGAGCAGCGATGGGCCGGGAGAGGGTGACGAGGAGAACGACGGAGGCCCCGGCGCCGCGGACGGAAGACGCCGTCTCTACCCTCCTATCGGCGGCGGCGTTTGCGGTGGCGAGACACCTACAGACACTCGGGGGGGGGGAGGGGGCGACCAGCCTCGAGATAGACTGCCCGAGAGCGCCGACCGTCTGCCCGTGCGTCAACGGTGGCCAGTGTACGCTCGGAAGGGCCGACACCGTCCTCGGGGATCACTATACGGACGCGGTGGCGGGGCTGGAAGGCCCCGTAGCCGATGGGTGGGCGGGGGTTCGGAGGCTTCCTGGTGAGCTGGATTACGCCTGCATATGCGGAGAGACCTTCCCCACCCGCCTCCGGCGCGATATCCACGTTCGGGCGGCGAAGGTGGGAGAGGCGCATGACATCCCGCCAGAAGCGAGACCGCGCCTGCCCTCGGGAGGGCGGCGGCGGCGGAGTAGGGGCGGCGGCGAGCTCCCGGTTGCAAATACTCGCCTGACGGTCCAAGATGGCGGCTCTCGCCCCCAACCGTGCACCAGCGTGCCTCTCTAGTCCCGCCTGCCACCCAGATACCGAGAGCATGGCGCACTCTTCGACTTGGGCTATTATCTGCCCTCGGGAGGGCGGCGGCGGCGGAGTAGGGGCGGCGGCGAGCTCCCGGTTGCAAATACTCGCCTGACGGTCCAAGATGGCGGCTCTCGCCCCCAACCGTGCACCAGCGTGCCTCTCTAGTCCCACCTGCCACCCAGATACCGAGAGCAGGGCGCACTCTTCGACTTGGACTATTATCTGCCCTCGGGAGGGCGGCGGCGGCGGAGTAGGGCTAGGGGCGGTGGCGAGCTCCCGGTGTTGCAAATACTCGCCTGACGGTCCAAGATGGCGGCTCTCGCCCCCAACCGTGCACCAGCGTGCCTCTCTAGTCCCGCCTGCCACCCAGATACCGAGAGCTGGGCGCACTCTTCGACTTGGGCTATTATCTGCCACCGGGAGGGCGGCGGCGGCGGAGTAGGGGCGGTGGCGAGCTCCCGGTTGCAAATACTCGCCTGACGGTCCAAGATGGCGGCTCTCGCCCCCAACTGTGCACCAGCGTGCCTCTCTAGTCCCGCCTGCCACCCAGATACCGAGAGCTGGGCGCACTCTTCGACTTGGGCTATTATCTGCCCTCGGGAGGGCGGCGGCGGCGGAGTAGGGGCGGCGGCGAGCTCCCGGTTTTGCAAATACTCGCCTGACGGTCCAAGATGGCGGCTCTCGCCCCCAGCCGTGCACCAGCGTGCCTCTCTAGTCCCGCCTGCCACCCAGATACCGAGAGCTGGGCGCACTCTTCGACCTGGGCTATTATCTGCCACCGCGGGAGCAGGGCGGCCGCGGCGGTGGCACAGGCGACAAGTCTTCAAGCACAAGGGCCGACGACCGATATTTTGCTTGCAAAAAACGCAAAATTTTCTTCGCGGGGCTCCGCCCCGCACCCCGCCGGGGCTCCGCCCCGGACCCTAGCTGACCGAGGGGGGGGTCAGCTCCGCAAGCTGCGAGGGGGCAGGACCGAGGGGGGGGTAAGCTACCGGAGGGGGGGTCAGCTGCCGCTGGCTCGGGACCGCTGAGCGACAGGGGGGTGTAGGTACCCCCCCCCACCTCCACCTGGTCAGACCGTCGACCTAGAGGGGGGTCCCCAGGTGCGTGGGGGGGGGTGTTTGAAGATGACGCGCATATAAGAAGACGGCTCGCTGCGACTTCTCACCTTATCTCGATGGGCTGCTTCTCCAGCCGCGTCGAGGCCCCGACCGAGGAGCCGCTCGGCCCTCCCGCCGTCGAACTCGACGCCCCGACGCCCGCCGACACCGCCGCGCCGACGCAGCCGGCCGCCGCCCTCCCCTCCGCCCCCGATCTCGGCGTGAGCGAGGAGAAGCTGGAGCTGTGGCGCGAGCTCGGCGGCGGCGACCTCGAGCCGGTCCTCGCGAGCGGCGCCGTCGCCGTCCTCGACGCGCAGTGGGTCATCCGCCACGCTGAGGCGGGCGGCGTCCTCACCCACCGCCAGGCGCTGCCCAAGGAGGCCTTCCTCTCTTTCGCCGACCTCGTCGAGGCGACCGGCAAGTATTGCCTTCCCGTCGCCGCGCTCTCCTACCCGTGGCTGACCAAGGACCACCCCGACCCGCGCGGAGCCAACCTCTCCCGCGTCGCGAGGGCGCTCAAGGCCCTGCTCAGCCATATTGACATCCCGCGGCTCGGCGTCTTTTGGGACTTCGGCTCGCTGCACCAGCACCCCGACCCCGCCAACGGCGTCCTGCGCACCGAGGAGCAGAACGCGCTCTTCAAGCAGGGGCTGAGCTGCCTCGGCACGCTCTACTCCCACCCGAAGACTTGGGTGCTGCGGCTGACCTCCTTCCCGGACGGCCACAAGAAGAAGAAGATGCCTAAGGGCACCAACGTGGCCAAGTACTTTGACCGCGGCTGGTGCTTCACGGAGCAGAGCTGGGCTGGCCTGACAAAGGCTGGCCACCTCTCGCTCGACCTCGGCAAGATGCGCGACGGCGTGGAGTACGACTACTGGAGCCTCCGAGACGACTGCACCCAGGACGGCGGCCGGCGCCCTCCGCTGCTGCCGTCTGCGTTCGCGGCGGAGCTTGAGAAGAAGAGCTTCACCAACGGCAAGGACGACAAGCCGCTGGTGAAGCGGCTGTACGAGGCCGCCTTCGAGGAGCAGTTTGGCAAGGCGACCGTGCTGAAATACACCAACCTCGGCTGGGGCGACGCGGAGGCGGCGCAGCTGGCGGAGGTCCTCGCGAGCGGGGCAGCGCCGCGGCTCGACACGCTTTCTCTCGGGAACAACAAGATTGGCGACGAGGGCTGCAAGGCGCTGGCCGCCGCCCTCGGCAAGGAGGGGGCAGCGCCGCGGCTCGAGTATCTCTATCTCGACAACAACGAGATTGGCGACGAGGGCTGCAAGGCGCTGGCCGCCGCCCTCAAGGAGGGGGCCGCCCCGAGCTTGAAGGCGCGAGACGCCCCCCCTCGCCACTCGCCCCTCCCCCGCCCAATGCTCATCGCACCTCCCCTCGCATGCAGACGCTCTTCGTGG